CATAGTGAACTTTTATAATATCAGCTTATGTTCAACGTGGTCCTCATTTGGGATGCTTTGTCAGGATGGCCCAAGTGACAAACCCACTTCCTAATCTATAAACATGATTTATTTCTCTCCATTTATTTATTATTTAAATTCTCACAGAACTGTTTCCTCGTTTTCAGCTTACTGGCCTTGATAACGATAATATGTGTCAAATTTGTCTCTATGTATTTTATAATATGATCCTATCACGTTTACACACACACACACACACACACACACACACCCTTACGTTTACAATCTGAATTCCCTTCATTTCTATTTGGCCTCATTGGCTGGCTATTGCTCCTACAATGTTGATGTGGTGATAGTCACCCAGCTTGGGTGATCTGGGCAGCCTATCTCAACTGAATTGATTCAGAAGGAGGCACAGAGGAGGGGCAGAGTATTATTTACTATGGTATTTAAAGAGACCGAGCAGACAAAACCTGCTTCCCAAGCAACAAGTTAAGGAGTGTTTTAGAAGCAAGGAAATGGGGGTTTCCAGAAAGAAGCCAAATAAATAACGTTGGCAATCCTCCTGCTGGACGGGATTTTCTCGAGCAAGCAATATGATGTCAGACTTGAGACAGGCCATCTGATTCTAGACTACTCGTTTGCTTGGAGGGTCCTGTCTGTATTTCAGTTGCAGTTCTATCCTTGAAAGGGATAGGTGCTAATTTCTAACGTCTAAAGGAAAACGGCAAAGGTTTTTCAGCTTTCATGAATTTTAAGAGGATTCTAAGAGTGAAACAAAACAAAGCAAAGTACATGAAGCCCCGGAGTCTTGTTAGGGTCTGGTGCAGCATCAGCGAAAGTAGATACCTTTTCCTTCTTCCAAATCATAGGGGGAGAAACACTTAGTACTTCATAATAGAGTGTGTGTTTTATAAATGACCTTTATCAGATTGAGGTTTTTCTCTGTTTTTGAGAGGTTCAATAAGGAATGGATGATGGATTTTGTCAAGTACTTTTTCTGCCTCTACAGAGATTTTTAAAGCTTGTTTAAGTGGTAAATTAATGTTGATTACATTGAAAATGTTAAAACCACCTTGTATTCTTTGCAAAAACTCCACTAGATCCTGTGTTCTTGGGATAGTTTTCTTAAATTTGTTTTCTTAAGTTCCTTTTCAATGAAGAATATTTTTCTGTGGGTTTCTTTTTTGCTAGCCTATACAGGTAATTCTTGCCTCATAGAATGAATTGATGAATTTCTGCTTCCCTTCAGTGCTCAGTAATGAGAAGATTCTGAGATGATATTAGACAGAGAATCCAAAGGAATTTGGATTTGATAAAAAGATAGCATTTTCTCTTATTGAATAATCCTCTATGTTTAGTGTGAATAAGAAGCTCTTGAATAGTTCCTTTAAAAGAAAACATTTTTATTCAGAAGATCCAAAATAGATCAATCTGGCATCAAATGTGAAAACTATCTCTGTAGATAATTGTGATTTAGATAGAGTTCTAGTACATCTTAGTTTGTTCCAGGACTCTAAAGTGTAGCCCACACCCCCCCAGCACCAAGATCACTTGGGGACTTGTTACAGATGCAAATGTCTCTCCCTACTCTGGAATGGACTACTTAGTAATTCTGGGAAAATGGATGGACAGAATGTTGATCTTCAATAGCTTCCATGGTCACTTTGATGGAACTAAAGTTTACGAACTACAGCTGTGTACAAATAAGAATAAAGAAATGGATACAAATGCCTTCAATTTTGCATATTTTATAAGTAGGAAGAACTTCCTATAAATGGAGTTCCTTAGGGCATGTAAAGTAAGCTTTGCAAGTTAGGGAGAAAAAGGGAAGCTAGAGGCGTGAATAGTCACGGAGGAGGTTTGGGATACGCAACAGGGACATGAAGGGGTAAATGGATGAGGTTGTTGGATGTCCACGTAAGTAACACCGTTGATAACCTCTGTTGATTTCATCTGCCTGATTATGTAATCTCCCCCACTCCTGAGCTGCTCAAGGGATAGACATGGAGAGCAGTTTATGGGATTCATAATCATTTTGATAGATGGGAGGGGAGGAAACAGAAGAGGCTACAGTAGTTGAATATATGTAGGGAAAGTGGATTAATGAACGATGAAACCCTGGTCCCTGAGCTTCTCTAAGGAAAATAATGACAAAGGGAGAGTAACTAGAGAGAGTCAGTGCTGGGGTATCAGGAACCCAAAGCTCTTTATTCGAGGGAAGAATTATTTCATAGACACATTTTCGAAAGTGAGCTGGAAAGGCAAATGGCAGGGGCTGAAATGTGAAATGTCTATTTTTCAATTATTAGCACTTCTGTGATGACAAGCCATGGCCATGGTGACGGAGGTGTAGTTTGGGTATTTCAAAGATTATGGAGTAGATGAATGAAATTTCTCCCGAGTATTAAAGTTGTCTCCCGTGAGGAAATTAATCAGAACCCATGGAGGGATCAACATCACATTAAAACAAATCTAAGTGGTAAGCCATCATTGGCATGAGGATATTCCTACAGAGATGCATTTGTTGCTCTATCTGATTATTTTAAGGCCAACACAATTTCAAAATGTGCATCTGCCAGAATGTCCTATAGTCCCAGAGTGTCTTTTGATAAGATTCATAATTATGATATTCATGTATGAGTCCTTTTTTGTCATGAAGGTTCAAAATAATATTGTTATCCTGCTGACCTTTGTAAAAGAGATTGAGCATTAATAACTTTCTCGTTTCTTTTTCACTCACGACAGAAAAAAAGGGGTTGGTCTTTAAAGGGATCCGATCAGCTCAGAAGCACAGAATGGGCATGGTCTCGGTTGCACCCTGCTAACCATCATTCTAATTCTGTTTTGAAAATTCACAGAGAGTGAAGAAGTTTATCAAAGGCAGGTGCTGTCATTTTCATGCATCGTCTTTGGAATCGTCATCGTGGGCGTGTTCTGTGCGGCATTCTACTTCAAAAGCAAGTAAGATCTTTTTTTATTTATTTGTTAAAGTTTACTTCTCAGGGGAGGTGCTTCATCATTCTTTCAGGAGTCCATTTCTGCTCCAAGCAGAGAGATCTAGGGCGTCCGGGCCCATGAAACGTCTCCCCATGACCTAGAACCATTTGTAGACTGTAGTGAGTCTGGAGACACGTGGGGATGCCCATGTGTCGACGTGTGGTTAATCTTGGATGTACTTAGTCACTGTTCCTCTTGGTGATCACGGATGCTCTGTGTCCCTTGCATTCTATCACTTGCAAAATGTCTACAATAAAGCATCCGAGTCTGCAGGACCCTAAGTCCCTAAGTCTTCAGAACAGAAGGGGCTATTCCAGGGAACCAAGCATTGCCCATTAGTAGCTATATTTTCTAAGGAAAAGCATAAGATAGCAGAGGAGCTGCAGACTCCATCTTTCATTTCATATTATCTGTACAGATGCTCATGAAGGTTTTAGCTAAATATCTTTCTCAGATCACAAATGTGTATGCAGATTGCTATTATGCCTGTCTCCCTTGCCAATAAACAAGATAGAAGCACATATTTTTAACTCATAAAGGGAATATATTAGATATATTAGAGGGCTTCCAAAAGTTCGTGGAAAATTAAATTATCCTGTAATTAAAAATTTCCACAGACTTTTTGAAACCCATATATACATATACATCCTGTTTGTGTGGCTATGGAAACATTTTACTTATGGGATTGGCATTACCTGAACTAATAAAAATAAATGCAAATTAAAATATGAAGCTGCTTCATTTCTTGTGAGGCATATATAATGAACCCAAACTAAACCCACTATGCTAGATTCAGTTCCAATCATACCAACATTATGGGAAGTCTGTTCCACAGAGTTTTAGAGACTGTGCGTCTCTAGGGTAGCGACTGCCTAATAATTCTTCCATGGAGGGGATTGCTGAGTTCAAATCACCCAACTTTCAGATAACAATCCAACACTTAACCCACTGTGCTACCGAAGTGCCTTAAGGGATAGATAGACCTGAAGAAAGTATGTGCACACGACTCTCCTAAAGCGGCTTTCAAATTCAAGCCAACATGCAATGACTTTTCTTGGACTCTATTTTCCTATCCATTTGCTCTTCTGAAAAGAGGCACGTTTCTTGATTTCGTGCATGATATCTACCATTGCATGCCGATCTTTTAAGAAAACAGTAATTATGAATTTTAAAAGAACAGAAGGGTGAGCATGAATCTAAAAATGACAAAAATAGTTTGCAGATTTACAGAATTATGAGTATTTTAAGACTAGTACAGAATGCCCGAATACTCCACACTCAGTTTTCCCTTTTATTAGCATCTTACATTAGTATAGAGCATTTGTTATTAAGAGTGGAGCATAATTGATACAATAATACTACTGGAATTCACATTTGATTTAGATTTTCTTAGTCTCATTCTTTTTTACCTAATGCTCATTTTCTGCTCCAGGCTTCAATACCAGGATATTATGCCGTGTTGTATTTTTGTGTGCTGAAACTTTAGTTTCCTGTTGACTATGTTAGGGGTGACCTCTATTGATTTTTGAGCACTTACTCTTTGTAAACTCACAGGGGCAGTCCTACCCTTTCCTCCGGGGTCTCTATAAGCCCGAATGGACCCGTTGGCAGTGAGTTGGGGCAGTGAGCATAACAACATGATCTTTACGCTGTGTCCAAAGGACCCTGGTGGTGGAGTGGTGGCTTATGTAAACCTCGTGCAGCTGATCACAAGGTCAGCAGGTCAAACCCACCAGCTATTCCACAGGAGAAAAATGAGCCTTTCTGTGCCTAAAAAAGATTTCAAAAACTCAACGCACTACCACAACTCATAAAACTCAGAAACCAGAGGGGCAGTTCTACGCTGGCCCTGAGTTAGAATCACCTCCGTGGCAGGATGGCAGTGCCTTGAACATGGGGATCTTCATGTATTTGTGAGTTACACTCACAACTCTTACAGTTATGTGTACTTTTTGCATCGTCCATATGATATTGCCATTTGCTTTGGAATAGGAGTTTGCCAAATCCGCATCATAGGACACGGCAGAAGATAGCCTTGAACTTTGGTAGTTCTAGTTTCAAGCGCGTGTTCATCACCACGATACCAAATTCCTTTGTGTAGTTTTCTTAGTGGATGGTGACACCGCTTCGAAGGAAGCATGCTTTACTGCCGCTCACAACAAGGCTCATTCTTTAGAAAGGCCATAGGACATAGTGGCCAAGAGTTTCCATGGGAAGGAGGCCTGGGGGTGATGTCTGGAAAGCTCAGTGCTCACGCCAAATGGTCCCCAGGAACACACTGAGGCTAACTGTTCATGTAAAGAGTTGCAGTCTCAGAAATCCTGTGTAGGATTGCTTGGGGTCAGCATGGACTTGGTGGCTAGGGGCACACATTTAGGGGGAGATCTGGATTTTGAGCTTCAATCTGCCACCTGATTGTTGTGTTCCGTAGGAAAATTACAACAGAGACTCCTGACTTCAGGTTCCTTTTTATAAAATAGGACCCCAAATAGTATACACTTTATAGAGTTCCTTAAGGATTGAATCGTACAATACTGGAAAGCCCACAGCATAGTGTTTGAAGAGTAAATACTCAATAAAGTCTTGCTGTGATTAACACCCACAGTTTTCTACACAGGGACTTGGAGGCTGGATGCCTATAAAGCTCTGCACCTACACTGGCACATTAGAGGAACAATCACACCCTGCAGGGTATTTTAAGAGTCTCCTTGCCAGTGCTGCATACATGAGAGAAGTTGTGTATCTAACATAAGCAAATTACTATGAAGAAGTAGTTAATCACTAACTTTTAGAGGATAATTTGGAGTTGTACCACACTGAAATGAAAGTCTGATTACGGTAATCAGAGAAATGAAATACTGCTGGAAAACTGGAAGACGGATATCT